CTAGAAGAACCACAGAGACCTTGGACACCATACACTTGCAAAGCTCCAACTCGAAAGGGCAGTCCTTTCAGCGGACCAACACATGATTCTTCATTGAGAACTCCATTTGGGGTGAGTGTTGCCATGTGCCTACAGTGTTTAGAGTACTCAGATGTACCCAGCCTTGCCCCAAACCAACTTGGGTGGGGATGGGCCAAAGAACTTCCCAGTTCCGGTTCCTATCTTTCTAGGGGTGTCTGCCATGAATTAACATGATCGGCTGCCGCCGCCGTGCGGTTCCTGCCCTCCATCCACGGCGGCGTCTTTTGTCCGTCGATCGGGTTCTATCGGGTTCTCGGCTGCGACTTGCGTCTCGGGGTGAGCATCGATGCTCTCAAGCTTTGCCACTGAGCCTGAACATGAAGGTGGTCCGGACTTGCGAATACGTAGGGGCCCTTGGACCGGTATACTTCGGGCCGAACAGAAGATCGTCGACCTAAAGTGAGTTGGAACATGGTAGAGGAAGACCTCAGAAAATGTATGAGATGCCTCATCTAAGGATTCAGAAAGCGTAGACCGGAAAGGGAAAAGCCACAGTTGCCTTTGTGCATTGGTTCTCTCAGTTGTGCTAGCCCCTAGCCACTTCAGTAAGTAAGGCATCAAACACATGACTGACATCTCTACACGTTGTCAAGGTTGCTTGTCTCGTTAGTAACGGTGATATATGTAGTTCCTGCCATGTATAGATGTATATAGTTCCACCTGCCTAAAAGAGCATTGAATCAATAACTGGTCACCCAAAGACTCGAGCAAATCGAAACCAGGACTGAGAAAAAAGGCAAAGAGAACAGCCTTTGGCCATGTTCACATGCGCTGCTAGCAGCTAACGGGCTTGCAGTTGAAGCTGATTGCTTCACACAATAGGCTTCTCATACACTAAGCGCGTACTTAAAGGGATCCGAAAAGTTAAGTTTGGGGCTCACGAACCACTGAGTATTCATCTGTGTGTGCCCATTCTGTCATTCTGACCATGTTGAACGGATCTGGCCCACATCAACAATCCTACGTAGTATCCAGGTGCCTAACTATACATCAACCATCCTACGGTATATATGTTTGCACCCTTTTATTGGAGCTCCGTTTTCTAGACACCCCCACAAATGAACAAATATAAAAAGCCCGTATATAATCATTATTGCTGACTGTGAGCTTTGCACTCTACAAGTGTGCTGGAAATATCCCGGGTTCGTGAGCCTTAACTTGTAAAAGTGCTCTAATATGCACAAAACACTCAAAGAAGCTGGGACATGAGATACAAACCTGCCCCACTTCGCTGTCAAAGCTATCCTGCGTGCTCCAACTGTCGCTCGTCACACAAGGATGATCCAAGTTGGCTTCCCAAAGATATAGCGCATGGAATTGGATCTCCTTGTTGTAGAGAAGGTCTTGAGATTGGCCACTTCCATTTTTACCTTTTGGGGAGACAACCCCTGATGTAATCAACACCTTGCCCGATCCTGAGCCGCCCATGGCCCTGGCCCACTGGCCCACAAGGCACAAGGTCCCTCCCCGAAAACAAACACGCAATTCAAAGAAGCATGCCCAAACTCTTCTGAGCCAACGCGGTGTTTGTTTATCCAGCTGTTGGACGGTCAACATGTGGAAACAAGGCAAACAGCTATGTATAGGTAGCTTCACTCGCCAGAACCATGGAAGTGGCACATGCTGCCATACAACCTGCTTTCAATGTCCATTTCTCCAATCTCCGCGCCCATGGAGCATCCCACCCAAAAAGGTCTGGCCACTCATCCAGCCAATGGAGCAAGACCCCCTTCATTCGATAGGTCCGTCATGTTCCACCGCCGCCGGCCGGACATGTTGAAGAGGCACCCCCATTTGACACTGCAAGCGCTGGTGGTTTGCAAGCGCAGGGGGTGCCAAGCCTGGCAAGTGGAAGAGTCAACATGGATATTATGCTTAAGCTTATGCAATGTGATACATATTATTGTATATACAGTAACTGTTTTGTCGACCCAAAGCTCGAATGCATTCTGCCGATTGAATGCTGCTGTGCAATTTGTGCCCATACAATTGTGATCAATTATGTGACTGGATTCTACTGCCCGCCAAAAAACACACTTGTACCTGGGACTGAATTCCTGACTTGGCCTTGAAGTACCTAGATGTCGAAAGCATGGTCAAAGCGGACGTGAAAGCACAACACCTTGCTTGCATGTGTGCTTTGCATAGTTTGGAAGGGTTTGCCCGGACAATGAACTGGGTCATGACACCAGTTCCTGTGTCATTGAGATCGGGATCTTGTTGGAACTCTCTGCAGTCACTGTATCTATGCGCAGCTCTCAAATGAATAGGCAAGTGGACAATCTACAATTGCCCTTCTCAGGGGGAAAAAACACCGCAAATCTTCGCAAAACCTGACCGAGGAGGTGAGGTTTTCTCTCACTCCACCTATGCCGATGATAGCCGACCTGAGCAACCTGGTCCTTCCTGGAGCGATCCAAAGCCTCTTCCACCCCACAGTTTACAGTCTGAGCAGCCGCATAACAGACTGGTGCAACGGGACATGAAAAGAAACTGGTGGACACCAGTGAAACGATTCCCAAGGAAGCTTCTAGTAGGGAGGGGAGGAGGGAGGAGCGGGCTTTTAGACAAAAATAGGAAACCAGGGCTTCTCAAGCTGGAAGAGTCGGTGACTTTAAGAGGTTTGCACCGGGCTACACCCTTGACCTGTCGAGTTGGTTTGCTGAAACATCTGGCACATCTGACACCTATGGTGGAATGTTAGGACTTGACTATCTTGATCAACGAACATCAACCACCGGACTGGCTAGCATGCAAGTGGAAGCTTGATGCACGAAACTTCATCATCGACGATGACGGTCATGTCTTGACAGGTCCCCAACATCGAAAAACCGTCTGTTTTCTGGCCGATTAGCCCATCGGCCTCTCTTCAATCCCCAAGCGCTGCACAACCAGTCAGTTCCCGAAACCAACCGCTGCACAACCCGTGCGATTCTCAGCACTCGTGTCTGATCTCCGCAGGATGTTCGGAGCGATGCCAGGCATGGCCGGCTCGGTCGTTACGAAAACGGCCCAAAGTCCACACACCAACTGGCTTGGTCCCCCAATAAAAAACACCAACTGGCTTGGTGCAGAGCAATTTTGGCCCACATGACGCACCACACCGATCGTCAACGAAGGAACGCGCGATCAATACAATGAAGGAACACCGGAGGGAACTTGGATCATAAATAGTACCCAAGTATACCATTTACTGTATATAGTCATAATGGAACACAGGTATCGGTAGAGAACTTGGAGGGTGCGGAGGTGAAAATTGTGCGAGGACTGCCTCCCAAGCTTGAGGTTTTTTCTCATCTTGCCCAACAAGGTTTTACCGACCTCTAACCAGGAGGTTGAGTGTTCCTACAGCTCCTAGGGCGAAAGCCAAATGATCAGTATGTAAAGATCTCCAAACGTCCACATAGAAAGCAACAACATGCAAACAACTGCCAATACAATATAGATTTACATCATAAAACAAACAGATCGGATGCCTTTTTCTCTTTTGATATTCACCGCATGCAGCTTTGCCATCACAACATGAATGGCCGTTGCCGGAACTTGGAACACTTGGCCCCGGAGATCGCTCCAAGACCTGAAGATTTAAACACCCTACAGCGGGGGAACGGCCCGACGAGAAGATCCTCGTCTTCCTCTCACACATAGCTCACCCTGATCGCTCCAGCGGCAGGCGGCAGTTGCCCCGCCGAGATGAGAGAAGAACCGCACGTTCGGACCTGTTGATATGAGAAACATGATCTCCTTCCGGATCTTCCATGTTGTTCAAATTCCATGTTGCCTGCGATTTGCCTGCGGTGCCCGAAGCATGTTCTAATTAGGTGTCCTTGACATGGGATCTGTTCGGCTGTAATTAGTCCAGCCAATGCGCAGCCATGTTTAGGATGAAAGGTCGACAGTCAACATATTGCAAAACAGCACCAGGACCGCCTAGATAAGAGTATCACTTCAGGTGTGTGGATGAAAGGATGATAGCACCTGGCCTTCTGGTTGCTTCTTTCACGTAAAGAGGGGACCACACGCTGGGGTGGGATTTGCCGGGGTCTGGCTGGGTGCGTTTTGCAACCTTGCGCTTATGCCTCTCGCCAAGTTCTCATGTTTGATATACTACTGTTCTATATACACAGTAGTAACGTGCAGTTTGTGGAGCCACATTCCGAACAAACGTATCGGACAAAATGTATGAACATGTAACACTGCGTAGAGGCTTGACTTTCCCAGTTACCCAAACTAGGCATTGAAATGCTATTGACATTGAACATCCCTAAGCCCTAGCTTCACTGACTTCAATTGAACTGCTGGAAGAAATCCTGCCAAAGCACTCGACCAGTCCAAGCACGCCAAGCACCCCGGCCCATTGGTACGATCAGTGCCCCTGGGTGACACCCCTGGCCGACCACGGATGTCGAGTACTGAGCGACTGCTAAGTCAATGGATGTTGAGTGCTTTCGCTCAGTGGCTTACTGGGTCCAAATGCTCCTCATAAGTTCCAGCATTTTCCACTTGTTGTTTTGCGTGGTGCCCACCATCATAGCAGTTGCCTTTTTGGAGAGGTTCCAGGTCTGTTTGGGCAAGTTCATTCCCATCTTTGTGCTTGCTCGAGTTGGAGTTCGAGTTTGCCTGCTTGGGTCATGTACGTTTCAGGTTGGGTGGCTTCCAACGTGAGACCCAATGGCATGCGTCTTCAATCAAGTGGGGCTGGGCTGGAGAATCAAAGAAGTGCCCTGGCAAAAAAAAAAAACACCCAAACAAAGCAATACATTGCACAAGAACATATATCATATATCTGATAATATACATCAATGTACAGGGCCTACTTGCCTACTCTGCAAATTATGGTAGGTTCGAATCTCCTCTCCTCCATCTTCTTCCATGTTCTGCTTCACCTTTCAAACCTGCGTACTCCTCGCCCCCTTTTTGTCGCCGCTATTCGCCCGCCAGTGGCCGGTACGAGCTTGGAGGAGCCCCTTCCGTCCGAGGAACACCGTTTCTGCGGGCGCGGAGGAGGAGCAAGGCGATGACACAAAGCCCAGCAGCAAAGAGTCCCATTGAAGCCCAGGGACTAGCCCACGGCCATCCTGAAGGGACCAAGTGGTGGCAGGACGTGATGTCATGAGTCAGGCGCTGCCAGGGGAGATTGGTACTTAGACTTAGAGGCTCTGCCAGAGTGAGAATGTGAAACACACATGTTGACATCAGGTTTTTCAAGCCGACCTCAAACGCCATACCGGCCATGTGGCAATGAATGGAAGGGACTCTTATGTGGAGATCTAAACATGGCATGGATTTGCCATGAGTCTCCGAATTCAACTGAACGCTACAGGAAAAGTACCCTTCTTTACGCCATTGTCATGCTCATAGATCATCTTCACCAAGTGCGTGAAGGAATTGCTTGGGATTGAGCTGAGTGGATGGATCCGGAAGATGTTCAACATTCACTAACTGGACACTTCTGAGACTATCCCCCTTTTGGCACGTTCGGGGCCGAACCTTCCGCATCCTCAATCCTTGTCTTCGCTTTCACTCAGGCATATCCTCATCTTACCCATGTCTTTCGCCACGAAACATGCCCCGCACCGGCCCCGCTCCTTCTTTGGGTTTCTTGGGAGGCGACCAATGCACCAAGAGGTGCTGTGCAAGCTCTGGCGAGCCAGGGGTGTAATAGGTGTCATTGACATCGCAGGGCTCGTAGTCCTCGTTGGACGGTGGCCAAGTGTAGGTCCAGTCAGCGTCGGTCCATCGGACATCCGGTTTTGAGATGTTCAACCTGTGTGGAGAAGAAAAACAAATCAGCAGTCACAAAGGGGTGCGATCCATGGAGGTTAGGGGTGCCCAGAACATCCACTCACTAGGGACTAAAAACCACCCCTTTGCGACTCCTGGAATAGAAATCTTCTGAGAGATGGTCAAACTTGGTGGCACCGTTCCAAACATGTCATTTTTTTAAAGACATATTAGACATTGTTAGACATTACCACACACACACACACCTGAAAACATCTGGCACCATGTGGAGTACTGCTTTCTGTTGACATTTTGACCATCCCTCTCAATCTAAACAATGCCGTGATCATAGTCGCACTTCCACCGCAGTACGGTGCAAGAGCAGGTGGCCAAGCGACGCGTGTCCTCATAGACAGGGTGACCTCTGGCGTGCTCGCAATAAGTCAGCTGAGAGCAGTTCAGGCCCATGTCCTGCGGCCATCGCTCAAGTTGTTGACTTGCCACAGAACCATGTGATTTCTCGTGAATCTCCCTTTTTCACCCGAAGGTTGCAAACTGCAGCATGTGCAAGATGCTTGCTGAACCAACAAAAACAGAACAAAAAAAAACGGATGGTCGCGTCTCCACATGTCACGCCAGCACCGGCGCCTCGTTCCAAAAGGTGCGGCTGCAAAGGTCGTGTGTCCCACCGCCGATGGCCCAGGAGTTGGATTTGCAGGGCTGGACAATGCCCACATCAGGGCAGCTGCGCTCCGACAAGAGGTAGGCGTTACCCAAGACGTTGCAGGCCTCCTGGGAAGGAACACATGTTCGGATCTCAGGAGGCTTCGTTCGGATCGCGGGAGATGTCGCTGTGGCCTTCTCCTTGCGTTGAAAAAGGCATGGACGAAAAGGGTTTCTCCAAAAGGCACGGAAGTGCTGCGGAAGTGCGCTCATGAGCGCTCCTTGAAAGATGGGGTGGTCGTTGAATTCATGTGTTACTCTTGGTTGAAAGGAGCGCTGACAGCAGCCCACCAGACCAGCGAGGAGATTGGGAGAGTTTGAGCCAACCACACTCTCTCACTCCCTCCTACTCGCTCTTCAAAAGCAGGACACCCGTCTGTGGTGCAGGACTTTCTTCGTGTCTTCCATCAACGATCAACAGCAGTTATAACACGATCTTCCCTTCAGCTCCTGTCCATGGTTCCATTTCCCGAAGACCATGTCTTTGGGCAGCTCATAGCACTTTCCGAAGTCTTGGTCCACCGGACAACTGCAGCTGCAAGATCCTCCAGTGTATCCTGCCGGTGTCCAGTCTGGCCGATCGATTTCAGGGAAGGCAATGGCCAAATCCAAATCATCAAGTATTAGGAAATGGATGGCCAAATCCAAGCTCCGGACTCAACCCCCCAGCCGCTAGTTGTCAAACTCGAGAATTGTTCTGGTTGATGTGGTCAGGCTTCTATTACTCGAGGAAGCAATGCCTAGACCTTTGAAGGGGCAACATGTCTTTTCATCAAAAATACCTACATACAAGGGCGCATCCTAAGCTTTTGAGCATCTTTATATAACCCAAAACTATGCAGGGGAAAACACATCTCACAGAAGAAAACCAATGCAACTGAATGCGTACCACCATGCCTCTACTAAAATGTTGTAAAAGCTGCGGGGTCCTTCGTCCACTTCACCTTCTTCGTGCTCTTTTTGCTTTCCTGAGTTGTCGAGAGAAAACACACCAAAACAATAAACACCTACTGCAAGTAGACAGAGCAGCAAAAGCAAGGACAAACTGTTGCCCCAAACTTGATTGCGCAAAGAAGTTTGCTCTTTGTACAATGCTATTGGAACCAAAAGTCTTAGCTGAAAACTGAATGTACCGTGTACCTATAATTCCTCAAGGTGTCTCTTCCTCCTGCGTTTCCTCCTCGCCAAAGATGTGTTGGATTTGGTCCCGTGGTTGTAGATCACCGTGGACAAGTCGAAGGTGGTCGTCGCCGTCGTGGAATCCTCCAGGTTGAGCCTTAACGTTGCATCAAAGTTGATCTTCAGACCTTCGAACGTTGGACCTCCAGCTCTACCAGTAATTGAATCCACCAGTCTTTTTATCTAGCTAGAATATACTTAATATGTTACATAGTTCCATGAGTTATCCATACTGGATGTGAAGGTTCACCCCCTCAGTCGACAGTGCGAATCCAGGGATCAAATGGGGAAGAAATGGCAAAGGAGCGCTCCTGTGACCGTCGAAAGGGATCCATGTGCAAACCACATGTTGAGCAAACACTACAACAGCACATGGCACTGCGTTTCCCACCTCTTGCAAAGCTAAACACTTCAATCACTACCAGGCTCATGGGGCCATCTTAAACTCCCTTCTACCGCACCATCTGCCTCAAAAATGCTGGCATCCAAATGGATGCCTTTTCTTGGGTCCAGCCGAAGGGGCTCCTGAAAGTCCCATGGCCACCAGCCAGCAGTGGTGGTGGTTGGCCACAGCCAATCCCAGGGCCACCCATCGGCTGCTGCAGCTGTAGTCCCCACGGTGGTCTGGCAGTTGGGTGCCAAGTGCATGGCGTTCGCATGTGAAACACATGGCGCATGACACAACTTCCATGTGATGGCATTATGATATAGCAAATGTGATAATATATATATATAATACTGTATATGTACCAGCACCACCCAGTTCGGGTGGTTTATAGACCTCCCTGAAGATGCATGTTCCATCTAATGGCTACCCAAACTGGGCGGTGCTGGTATGTATATATATATACCCAGACACTCCATGTATGCCATATATGCCGATCAGTTGGGGTGGTGCCAGGGGGGTCAATGGGGCGGCATATATTCCAGTCCCATGGAGTGTTTGGGATATATATATATATATACCAGCACCTTCAAAGGGGTCACCAATGAAAGCCCCTACACTACTAAGGGACCTCCATTGGACACCCCTTGAAGGTCCAGGTATATTTATATATATATAGATATATCTGTGTGTGTGTTTGTTCACACCTGACTCTTAGAGTCTCACAAGTCTCACATGTCCGGTCCGGCGGTCTGTCGGTCGCCGGTCGCCACGGCCAAGTGGCAGTGGTACCTGAAGTACTCGTGTAAGTCGTGGAAGTGAGTGATGTAGAGGTCTGAGTGCGCGTGAAGGTGGTGCTGGTGAGGGTGGTGGTCGACGCAGGAAAGGGCAAAGCAGCTTCGATCACCAGGTAATGCAAAAAGGCGCCGAAGGAATCGTCGTAGGTGATGGAAAACCTGAAGCAGCAAAGAGGCCACCAAAAGAATCGTTGGACTCCAAAGGATTGCAACGTATTCCACTGATTGAAGCAGTCGTGGTGACTGGAAGCATGATGTTCCAAGATCAAACCTCCCCCCAGGTCCCAAATACTGACCAATACAAGATGCAAGCAGTGCTTGCCTTTGCAGTGGTTCTTGACACTAGGCTTCACAACAAGAATCAACAAGAACAGCGAGGAACCACCCTCATAAGACATTGTAAAGCATATATACTGATAGGGGATGATAGGGGATGATAGGGGTGCCCATTATCCACTCACTTGGGGACCAAAAACCATTCCTTTGGACCTGGGGGTCTTTATATATAGTTTCATGCGTTTCGCTGATGCCTAAGCCATGTTTCATGCAGATTCCTCTTCAGCCCCGCAGCCTTGGCCGTTCCCCGCAGCCTGACTCGGACCAAGGAGCCAAGACCAGCTGACCGAGCAGGGCGTCGAGCCGGTGAGGTCCATCCCCAGGGAGACCACGAAGGTCTCCCGCTCCTCGGAGCACGAGACCGGAGCATGAACGGCTCGGCGGAGCGGCGGAGCGGCGGAGGTTTGAAGGGACTTTTGGTGCTCGAAAGGTCGAAGGTGTGTCTTTTTGGAGGGACGGATGACCTCATCAACACTGGATTTGGAGCCAAGATCGCCCAGAGGTGTGAGAAGCGGGAAGGTCTCTGGAGGAAGCCCAGAGGCAACGAAGACCCATTTTTTTTGGGGGGGGCAAGAGCCAAGATGCTCTTGATCAATGTAGTGGTGTGGGTTTGATGCTGTTCGTGCTGTTTGCGCTTCATGGGATGTGATAGGGAAGCGAGGGAAGCGAGGATCGGCCCAAAAGACTGTCCAACGCCAACTAGTTAACTAGTTTTCTTTGCATTGTACCTGTTTGCCATCCGTTTTCGCCCCTATCTGCTTGACTGCTCTGACTGAGGGCCCGTTTAGTCCAGAAAGGAGACATCTACCTTCTTCTCCCTTGCGAGTCCTAGGCAAAGCCTGACACTTCGCATTTACCAAGAAAAAACAAATAGAGACTCGTGGGATGTTCGTTTACTTGATTGTTGCCCAATCCCTAAGAGCATCTGAGAACTGGCCTAGTTGGCCATGAATCATAAACACTGGCGTTCTGATGACTCAAGGCTCCGGCAGCATGATCAAGTACCTGGTCAAGTAGCCAGTGGCGAACCATGCCTCCTGCAGAACATCGACGGCCTTCTTGGGCAGTTGGAGCCTTCTTGGTCCATGGATGACGTTTGTGAAGCTCCAAAGGCTAAAAACAAAGGCAACTCGGAACCTCGGGGAGTTCCTCGACCTTTCCGTGACGGAAGGCCGGCTCCGGCCCTTCAACCTTCAAATGTGGCCAAATGTGCGGGTACAGCTGCCTGGATTTGCGGAAGGTTGTGCAGTTTGGATCTGATCTGGATGGACTGACCAATCAAAGGGTGTTCAGCGATTCACCCAGAGCAGAGATGTCGAGGTTGGTCAGGTTGGGAAAAAAACTCCGGGTACCCCGAAATGATCCGAAACGATGTCACCAATCAAAGCCCGGGCCCACACTCGAAGACAACACGAAGTGGAAATCTGGTATAGATGGTATAGAGTTTCCATCCTCTTCCCAGAAGATCATGCCATCCGAATCCATGCCCAGACCATCCATATATGGAATAGATACTCTATACGGTCATCAATGGATATAACATGATATCAATGGAGTAAATGTATGCTGGAACTCTTCCATACATCGATGGTCTGGGTCTATCGTCTGATCCAATGAGCTCGATGGTCTTCACCGCCCGCGGGCACCGATCGGCGCAACCGACCGCGCGGAACCGCTCTCCTCGTTGATGCCGAAGATCGGCGGGTCGGGCACGCCGAAGCAGGCGCCGCAGGTGCACATGCAGCAGCTGGTGTCGTCGGGCCCGACGGCGTGGTTGATCCAAAGCAGCATACCATAGGTCGACACCACCTGCGCTGATCAATCGGCGTAAGGGAATATATAGGATATACGTGCCGTTACGCATGGAGGCCAAAGGCAGGGGGATTGAGCGCACTTTGTGCGGTACCAGGCCAGTGAAGGCGGGAATGGTGGGTGGTTTGGGGATATGACTTGCGAAAACCCATGGCGAGAACTGCTCCAATAAGAATGGCTCTGAAGAGCAGTTGAAGACCAATTGATCGCACAATTCAACACAATATTAACTCCCCCCCGCGCAAAACACTCTCTCACAATCCTCACATTTCACCTTGCCAAAGTATTCAATAAAATCCATTGCAAAACTCATTCAACATGGACCAAAGGACAAACCGTCTTGATACATAGACGGAGTTGCTTAAACTCACCTCGCGACCTCGCGCGCCCGACATCGTCGCAGGCCCCGATGACCTGGGGAAATGAGGGTCGCGTCATCTCTCCTGGGCGCGCCATAAAGACGAAAGGCCCTAAGTGACTTAAAGCACCGAAGCAAAGCGTCAAGCGTCATGAGAGATTCCACAGGTGATGTATACAACTCTCTTCACTACAGGAGGTCCCCAAAACAAAATCTATTCATAAGAAAGGAAGATTAAATATATTGAATTACAATAGGGCCATGGGATGGGGGAATTTTTGAAGATTGAAATTGATGTGAAGAAAAGGAAAAAAGGCGGTTGGTAACGGTTGGTATTAGCAAAAAACATTGCCCAAGAAAGGTATTTGGGGGTGGGTTTCCACTTTTGCAAATTGTGCCAGAAGCTTTATGGAAAGGTGGCAGTATGGGAGGAACAACTGTAATGTGGCAAACTAATAGTCTAGAGGGTTCCTTAATCATGGGTCTATGCTTTTGTGATGTAATCATAACCTTAATTTTGTTTTTCGTTCAGTGTTGTTGCTCTGGTGCAGAATCTCCACTGTGTGTTTTGGCTCTTTAGCAAGAATGTACAGATGTGGTTGTGATGATAGACATGCACCCAAGCCTGCCCTAGACTCAACACTATCATATCTTCCATGACTTTCCATGCTACATACTGGCTGTCAAGCAAATGGACAAACACAGCACCTCTGAAACACAAAGCTTGTCTAGCGTGCGTAAACACTCCACCTCAGGTCTGGTGGCCCAAAATGTAAACACTCCGCGTCAACCACCAAATAAATGTGTAAGTCATGAATGACGATGATTTATGATGACAATATAAACAACGGATTCTATTAACTCTTCTCACAACTATATATCATTCACTTGATTAGAGGCTGTCATTGGTTAAGGACATTCTTTGGTATAGGTTGCACCACTACATGTTTTCCATGGTGTCCTGTGGAGTCCTTTGATATCCAATGAAATAAGATGCATGATTCATGACTTTTTAATATAAGAAACTAGCAGCATCCAATAATATTGACCTCAAAGTGGTCATGAAGGTGGTTGGATGAGAGGAAACTTTTGCTGGTCCCTGAGGCCCTAAAATGATGTATGGTTATAGTTGTGTTCTTCAACCCAACCATCCCAGCATTTCTTGTGAACATGACTCACATGACCTTCAAAAGAACTTCTTCTCAGGCTCTGATGTACTCCTTGCTCACCAGTTGAAAGACTTCCGTTCGGTTCGTGGCCCAAGGCAACCAATCCAAAGGCCACGTGGGTGCGGCTGAAAGGGGCCATCGGCCCCAGTTGATCATCAGCTGCCCAATCCTCTCAACATCGGGGCCGTCAGGGTGTCGAAAAAAATAACACCTTCAGCTCCATGAGTCCTTTTGCTGTCCCCAAACAACCCAGACCTCTCCTGGCCAACTGCGAGCAGCTCATGAGTTGCCCTCCGCCGATGGAAATATCACCATCCAAGCCATCATGGGCGAAGAGTCCTTGCAGCCCCAAGGGTTTGGCGAACTGATCCTCTGCCCAGTCCACCGGTGAGCTGTAGCGCTCAGAGGTCAAGACACGGATCAGCGCGCTCAAATGCTGGATGTGCTCTCCGCTGTTGTACTCCTTTGCTGCGTACATCATCCGGTACCGGAGGACGACTCATGATGGTCACCACTTCACCCTTTGATGCGCCAAATAGTGCAGGACAACCCAACTTTTACAGTATTCTGATGTACTCTGAAAAGCCACGACGGGCTTTGCATCTGTGGGCAGCATGGTATGTTTGGCGGCCGGGGGTCAAATCACAAGCTATAAAGAGTATATATAATTAGGTGGGAATGCCATAATCGGGACGTCTGAGACGCAAAGTGATTCGTCCAATGACGAAGAACAAAACACCAGAAATCGGAGATGGTGAGATTGTTCTATCATGTTCCCTCTTCCGAGGTGGACAGTGACTTGAACCTTCGGACCCGGAAAACCAGGGGTACCGGGTCCAAAATAGTCGAAGTTTTTTGAGACCAAAGACCTGGCCACCCAATTCTTCACCCAAAGGAGAGGAAGGCCGAGACTCGAAGGTCACGCCGGGAGGTCCTTTGCCCAAGCCCGAGGTATGGGTCATCAAGTGCCTTGCGGTGATCAGGGGCCAGTACTCCTGATGCTCACCTGAGAAAGGAAGGAGGCAGTACGCCAAATCCAGGTGCCAGTGCAGGTTTTCAGCCGTGTGTGGTGGGTCTTTGGAAGAGGGAAAAGATGGGAAAAGGCACAAGTAACACAGCACCTAATAGACCCTACAAAACTGAGACTCCAGGCGCGAATGGGTCTTGTTTTGGGGTGTCCTCTGAAACATCAAACGATCTCATCCACCTGGGGGCATAGAACATGGCCATCATGCCGCATGACAATCAAGGACCATCAAGGGTCATCGACCGGAAACGAGCAATGCTACGTGAAGAGGCGACCTTCAGTGCCGTTCTCCCACGAGAAGAAGGCGAGTTCGAGTTGATTCAGCCACTTGGTTGAGGTCTTTTTTGCGTTTCTGTTCTTTTGGGCAGTGAATTGCCTTTGACTCAGCCACGAAGTTTGTTGATCGCTTTCGTCACGGCGAGTACACTGAGTACACAAAAGTGAAAGCACAAGGTCCCGGAGCTTCATTTGGCAATGCAATGTTCTGATCCAGCACATTCCAGCACCACCCGAAGGATTTTATGGACCCGCCGGGAGATGTGTGTTTCATGTTATTTTTTTCCATTATATATTAAAAAAAACGAAGTGGGTGGTGCTGGGCTAGTTCTCTTGTCATATTGCTTGTGTTCAACGATCTTGTTTTGCTGGATGGGCCGCTTGGGGCGCCCTTCCATGATTCTCGGGCGAAAGCGCTAAGAAATGGTACAATGTACAATCACACCACTGCCCCTACTACGTCAGGAATCCTCTTGGCTCAATACTTTCATAGACCTATACACACAATTCCACTAAATAAGTGTGAATGGAATTAAATTGAAACCATGGAATCCATGCATGAACCAAGAAAAAGCATGACACGATATGACAACGATCCCAAACACATGTTGCTTTGACCCGGGTTTCACCCCCTGGTTTCACCAACAAGCCCACCTATCATGGACGTCCGTCCTGCTTCGGCCAAGTAAGCGTTCCGCGTTCCCAAGTGGCCCCAGTAAGCTGCGGGCTTCACCTTGTACTGCGCCAAGGGCCGATCGATGTCCAACTTGCCTCCCATCCGACCCCGGCACGGCGCCGGTGGGGGACGATGGAACCAGGTGGGCAACGAAACGCGCTGCCGGGGGGGGGGGGTCGGACCCGGTGGGGACTTCCATGGGAATATGATGGTGAATTGAGGGTTCATGATGGTTCTCACGTCCGTCCAGAGTTGCGTTTTGACAAGCCAAGTGTGAGTCATGAAAACTGAAAAAGAGTCGGTTCCCAAGGCTCACGGGCCATGATTCCCAAGGCACCCAAGGCACCCAAGGCACCCAACTCGTCTGCCCAAGCCAGCCTTGTGTGACCAAGACCCCTAAAAGCAGCGCGCTCACGGTCTTTGCCGCGCTGTCCAACTCGATCTGCTCGGAGGGCAGTGCGGTGGGCGCGTAGCGCTCGTAGACGAGGCGTCCCTTGTGAGCCACCAAGATGCCTGGGATGAATAGGGGCCACTGTGGGCCACTCACGGAGGAAACGGGGCCCAGAAACCTGAGAATTGGTTGCTTAGGTCTCATGCATGTTCCTCGCTCATCCCACCTGCGGGCAAAGTTTATAGGATCATCCAGTGCTCATGAATGAGTTCGTACCAACAACCCCAATGCCGTGGCTGCAGCCTCTCCTGATTCGACCCAGCCAGCGGTCACCCAGTCAGCCGATGCGGTGAAAACCGACTCGTGAGCGGATGCCAAAGTGCATCGTCGCCCAGGGAAGGTCTTGAAGAGATTCCTGAACAATTGCGGGCAACAGTACGAGGATACCAAAGCATTTCTTCCGAACTTGGTCAAAGGATGTCAAAGGATGAATCGGTTCCATGAAACAAAGTGACCCCTAAGCAAACGACGGAGAGGATGCACGATGATACTTATCAATCTATTTTGAGGTTGTTTGCACTGACCCTATGATCATCATTCCCGCAGAACTCCAACAAAAATCAGCGCCCCTCGCCAAGGGTGGAAGATTACTCGGTGTTGGTTTGTCTGCTCATGAGTGTGCAAAGCACCACATGGACATGCCAGAACCACTGGGTTGGTATTTGGAAAATGGGATCGTCTATGCGCAAAGTAGATGATGTGTCCCGTATCTCAAGTCACATCTCAACAGGTGGGTGGAAGTGGATCTCTGACAACTTCATGTTTCATTCCTTCTCAAATGGAACTTAACTCTCTCATCTGGATGTGAGCAGCGAAAAACTATAGACCTTCCTTGGCACTGCGTCATCACTCTCAGGGTCCATCAACTCACCCTCCTTGGCACCGTCGCTTACCGTCCCACGCTCTCGACCGAGCGGTTCTGGCGTCCAATGCCGGCCGAGTGTCCCTGCTCCAACTTCCAATGGCTCGTGGCTCGTCCAATCGACCACCCCCTGTGCCCAGGGTCCAGCGCCCGGTCCCGCCATGGAGGGCTGCCACCAGCCACTCCGGCAGGTGGTGCCACGCTTCAAGAGCTGACAAAAGAGACAGGTGAGCTCGGTGGTGTGGGAGGGGAGCTTGGGAAATCAACCTTGTAATTATGAGGCAATTGGGTTTCTTATGGTTTCTTCACGTCTGTTTGCTGAAGGCTTGTTAACTCAGACTCTTGGGGCTGACTCAGCCTTTCATCTCCAAGATCTAGATATGACCCGCCCAGGCGGGTTTTCACGCCAGTTCCATTTAGAACGAACCCCCGCTTCAACACTTGCCCCGCTGGCTGGCTTCTGGTGGTCGCTTGGGCTTGGTTCTTACAGTAAACGTGCTGTGAGGGGTTTCCCTCATGTCATGAAGCTGTGAGGTCCTACCGTCCTACCAGTCAGAAAAGGGTGTACCTTTTTGCAGCACAGAACGAAGCTGCACGTTGAATCATCGCAAGTGACCAAGGTCTACGAAGGTGTCAAGTTTCCTGGATGTCTGTGGTCGGTTTAGAATAGGGACTGCCTATTTTAAACAAAACGTATTCCTTGAAATTGACTCCCTCCTGAGAAAAACACATCACATTGGTTCGGTTTGGAAGGAGTCCCGGTTCATAATTGCACACCCTCAGTCATGACTGGGGTGCTTTTTTGGCGGGAACCCTACTCCGAACACCAGGTGAAATGTTGTCTTCGTGGAGGCCTCTAGGCGAAAGGGGATCACCATGACGACTCCTCAGAGTCTAGGATGTCTTGGTTCATGGGCCTTAAAGGGCCTCCCAAACAGCTGCGGCGTAAGCCACAGAAGCTGCGGAAGCAGTGGAACTGACGTGATCATGCACATCCCAACATGATACCAAATGGGATTTGTTCATTCTACCCAGGACGTTGACTTTCCATGGTTTGGGTGGCTTCAAACTGATCTTCGCAGCCATCAGGGCCGCTCCATCTGCGACCCAAAAGTCGATTGCACCATCCTCAGGCCTCCCAGGATCATCCTCGTGCGGAACAACTAAGGCCTAAACCTCCAGCACATTGTTGATGCACTTCTACCCCGGATCCTCCACAAAAAGGACACACTTTGCATCAACAAACTCGTTACTCGTTTCTTAATGAACAGCATCACCCAAAGGGTGGTTTATAGATCCCTCTGGCCTCTGACTTGGCATGTTCCGTCCCCAAACCGCCCATTGAGGTTGATGAATGTTCCCTTTCTTTGGGCACGAAAAACATAACAAACATACAAACGGCAGTCGTGGGGTCACCGTGAGGGCGCACAAAAGCACACATTTCATCACACACCATCACGCCTGGACCCAGGCCAACCTCAGCCAAAGTCTCTAGAGTTCGCGCCTTGGTGTTCATTGAAAAAAGCGCTCGAGCATCTTCACAAGCCGGACACCGGACACGTCGTCAGCAGCTGCACCCAACAAATTGTTGAAGAATCTGAGTTCGACTATCCCAGTTTGGTACCCCAGGTTACGGGTCCTATTTACGGTCACTTCAATAATCTCTAGACAGGAGCAATTACTGATTCACAAGCTGATTTGCAAGCTACTGGAGATTCAATTACTACACAGGACCATCCAATGGGTGACCAAAATGTGAACCAATAGACTGCTCCGCCATTGGACACCCATTGGATGATGGTATAGTCTATAGTCTATATGGTATAGTGATCCAGAAATAAATAGAAAACGGTGTCCAATAGAATTTAATGGGGATCTACTTTTCTATCTATTTGGGGACCACTATAGGGATTCTCGGATGGATTGGGTTCAGAACAATCCCGTTACTCAATTGCCCCTCAAAGATTCAGGACTTTAGGATACTCTTGGATAGCTACCTAAGCCTGGGGCTCGGGTGGTTTGCGACCCAGTGAGTGAGCCCCTTGACCCATTGGCACTCTGACATGGAACTACTGGCAACATCTACTGAATTCTTGATTCCCCTCAGCTTTTTGGGGGTGAGGGGAAGATAGAGGTTAACAGGTTAACCTTTTTCCAATGTTTTACCTTCATGTTAATCGTTTGGAGTGGGAACACATATCCCCAAAAACATCAAACAAACACATTATATATGTTGTCCATAGAGTGGGTAGGTGATATGTAAGCTCCACCAAAAACTAACATCAATGGACAACCGCCTCCTATCGTCTAATTTGAGGAGTTACTCATTAATTCCCTAGAGCTTCAACCTCCAACCATATCCTCAGAAGGTGGCGTTTTATACCCCTCCAAGATGGTCTTCCCGTTGTTGTTGCTTCCAACAGTGAGCAACTCCCTATAGAGCCCCTATAGATTAGCATCCTTGCTCCGTTCGTCGCGATGCCCTTTGCTCCTACTAGCACCGTTGCTCCTAGTAGCATTCCAAAACCCCCAGTGCCGTTCGTGCCGGCGAAGCCTCGCCGAGGCGCACGTTCCTGGCGCCGGGCGATGCCCTCCACACGCTCCGACATCTTCTTCGAGGCGGCCTCGACGCTGCCGGTGTGGCAGGACCCGGTCCCGAGGAGATGGTGGTGCTTAGGTGCTTGGGAAATATGGCTAGCCACTTGTAGACTGTAGGGCCTCTATAATTAAATTATATCCTAGACAAAAAGGACAAAAACGGTTGGGGTGGGTACCAGGGGGGTCGAATACCACCTTTTGAGGATGAGGTTGGAGCCCAAGGGAAACATGCTGTTATAATTGTTGTCTTTTTCAATGTTGGCATTGACTAATTTACTATCTATAGTAATTACAATAGTATAGCTATGTGATATTACATGCCGCTCGTTTTGGACGCCACGGGTGCAGTCAAAGGAGTGCCCCAGTGCGGGTGCCCGGAAGGCCCATCATGAGATGACACATTGAACAATGAACACACACATGCCCCGAGTGGTTGTATCGGTTCATTTGCCTATATGTTATACGATGTTTGTCTCTGCAGTGTTCTTGATATTGCTCAACATGTTCAACTCAAAAGGAGATTTATGGACTATCTGGCAGAAAACATGTTGGCAGCTGCAATTCGGAATTCGGTCGTTCTGGACCACTTCTGGAGCAGTCGATGGTCAGGTGACGGTCCGGCCTGAGCCTGGAGGATGCGTTGAGGTCTCTGAACCCTCTAAAGGGTCACTTAGGGACCTCAAAGCATCAAGCTGGTGC